TGAAACGCTACCTCTTGGGGCGCAGCAGCCACGTGCAGTCGTAGGCGTCGGGGTGCACCGGGCAGGTAACCAGCATGCCCAAGTCGCCCCTGGCGGCGGGGATCTGCTTCTGGAGCCATCGGCGCTGCGAGATCCTCAGCTCGTGATGCAGATGGCCCTTAGGGCACTCAAGCTGGTCCAGCTCTGTGCCCTTCTCGGCGTGCATGATGTTGGGCTCAGGCCACTTCCAGTTTAGATCCGTCAGTGTCCCCGTCAACCTCTTGATCGATCCTGGTGGGTCTTGTGGTCCTTGTACGGCCGCATATAGATTTGCCAGCGTCTGGTGTCGTGGTCTAGGTTGTTCCGGCACTCGTCGCAGGGCTTGAAATACTTCTGCATGGCCAGCTGCGCGGGATCCGATCGCATGTGATTGGTACCAATGTGGAGAAGACTCTAGCAGCACATCCATTTGCTTCCTGTTGGATATACAACTCGGAATGCGGCTTGGCGAAATGCGACCATGGCCTCCTAAGGCGGGGTCGCCAAATCCATGCCAAGTGCAATCATCGGTACCGTCGGCGCTCTGGCTTGTTCGCCTTTCTCGCGTATGCTGAGTGGTAGTCTTTGGATTATTTCCAATCGTGGTTTGGCAGCTTCAAATCTCTGGGTCGAGAGGGCGCCGTCCTGTTTCCCAGCTGCGGCGACCTTGCTGCCCGCCAGCTATGTGCTGCCCGCGACACTGAGATCCTGACCCGCAATCCTGATGTCCTGGGTGGCTGCCTTGTACTGCTCATGTGCAGTCCACGCCTGGATCTTGCCTGGGTGTACCGTGCTGTCCCGAGTAGACATCAAACTTGAGTGTCTCTTCAATGGGCGCCATGATTTCTCTGATAGTGTGCGCCGTGCTGTTTGAATCGTCGGCGAAAGTGGCCGAGAAGCTTCTGGGCATGATTCGGCGCGGCCTCGCGGCCCATGCGTACATCAAGAGCTTCGCGTCATCCAGGCTGAAGCTGCTGCCCTGCAAGCGGCCGTTTGTTGTCTTGAAAAAGAAGCCACAAGATCCAACCACCTTAGTGGCTCTTTGGTGCTGCTCGTGAGCCGCCGTTCTGGCGTCGACTATCAGTTTGGGGCGCCCAGCTCGGGTTTTGAAGCCCGTGGCAAGTTCTGCACAATGAAAGCAAACCGCTTCTTCCGATCCAATGCCGAGCCACGTTTGTCGTCAATGGTGGTGGCTGGCCTCCAGGTGCAGAGCAAGGGTCGTCGATGCTTCGTGGAGGTCAGTCCCTGCCGTGGCCCCATAGCTTGCCGCGTGTGTCCACTGTGCACGCCATGAAGGTAGCTTCTGGCACATCGGCGTTTCCCAGGCACACCGCCAAATACTAAGCACCGATAACGATCTCTGGTCCAGCAGATATTCGGCAACATCTTTCTTTAAACGTTTATTTGCCACTGCCAGGAACGTCTCAAGTATAGTTGCCACGGTCAACATCCGTCTCAGTCCCTCCGCAAAAAATGGCCGTGCTATTTCTATGAGAGAGATCTCGCTCCCGCAAACAAGTGCTATCGGGCGTGGCGCCGGCCTTCACTATGGCGTAGTAGCTCTGCTCCCTGCTGTCGTGCCCGGCGTTGGCTACCTCGCACAGCCAGCGCAAGTCCGCCGCCGCCGTTTGGATCTGTGGTTTGGATGCCATGTTGGGCTGGATGTGGTCGATGCGAAACTTCTGGCGTGCTCGGCTCGCCGCACTGCCCCTGACCTCGATGGCCAACTCCTTTGCCTCGGGCGCCGTTCGCGCCATGCAGGCGCCCACTGAACACTTATCGCTGCGCATGACCCCCTGGTGCCCGTCGTGCATCCGGGCAATCTCGCAGGCTTCGTGGAGCGCGGGTTTGTGGCCGATGGTAACCAGGCTACGAACGTGCCCTCCTTATCATTCCCCGCCTGCTCAGGGTTGCCTATGTAGGAGTTGGCGAACGTGATGCCTTTGAAGCCCGAGAGCTCGAGCTAGGCGAGCGAGTCGCCCTTGGCCACCAGAGTAGCTGACAAGGTCCTGCCCCCCGCGTCGGCGCGTCTGCTTCTTCCGTCCGTCCCCGCGCGCATCATCTCCGATGGTTGTTCGAGGAGCTTGGCGCCAGGCTTGATTGTGTGGATGACGTTCGTGAACTGCTCCCTGAGCTGGTCATCCAACCCGACCCGTGCCTCCGACTTCTTTGCGTGCCTGTAGCGAGCATTCTTGTCTGCTCCAAGAACGCCCTGGTTGCCGCGCTGTGACAGGATGGGCGCTGCCCCCGAGAACTGCGCCTGAAAGAGCTGGCTGGTGTCGGGTTTCGCGTGCGCAACATCCCTTTCGTAGATGGCGACGCGGTGCGCGGCTGCCAGCTGGTCGTCTGCGGGGGCCTGGACCGTGGCAGTGTGGTTCTGGCAGGTCGCCTCGCCCTGCCCGAACTGGTAGATGGCCCCCTTGAGGAAAGTCATATTTGGCCCCCCCCCCCCTGCCCCCGCTCGGAGCACGGGCGCCTGGCGGATTGCATGCGCGCAAGTCGGGTCAGGCTCGCCGAAGCCGATGATCGCGATGGGGATCGCCTGCCTCTGCTGGTCCAGTGCCGAGCACCATTTGCTTGCCATGCATGGGTCGTGCCAGCTCACCGTGCTCTCGTACGTGTCGTCGTTCTTCTTTCTGGGCTCGCTGCTGACGTGTGTCGACCAGTCGCCACTTGCCAGCGACATTGTTGGAATGAACTCCTCTGAGGTGTCCTTCCCTGCCTTGGTAGCTGCCGGGCCTTTTGCCGCTGGGGTACGTGCTTGGTGCTCCTTCGTCCAGCTGGTTCTGCGCTTCGCGAAGAGCTTGCGAAGTTCACGTCCAAGCATGTTCTGGGATGTGGAGAAGACCAAGCTTTGGAAATCAGGTCCATGCTTGGCGGCCATCTCGTCATATGCCGCTGACGCTGTGTTAGCGCCGGTGCCGGTCAACGCTTCGATGACTTTCTGCTTCCGAGCCTGAGGTCCTCCAACCTTCGCGGCTGGCTTCTTCCGAGCCATAGCTAGTCCTGAGAATCAGGTGGGGATGCGCAAGCCTCCGCACCCCGCGGGAGCGGGGGCTGTCGGCGCGGCCAGGAAAGACTGCTGCCGGAGGGCGGTTCTCGAATGGCCCGCTCGTGCTTCCTGGAAACACTCGAGCCCGCGCTGGAAGACGATGGGGGGGCAGGAGGAGGAGGAGAAGAAGGAGGAGGAGGAGGAAAAAGAGGAGGAGGAGGAGGGGGAAGAGGAGGAGAAGGAGGGGGAAGAGGAAAAAGAAAAGGAGGAGGAAAGGGAGGAGGAGGAGGAAGAGGAGGAGGAGGAGGAGCAGGAGGAGCAGGAGCAAGAGGAGGAGGAGGAGGAAAAGGAGGAGGAGGAGGAGGAACAAGAGGAGGAGGAGGCGTTGGAAGAGGAGGAGGGGGAGGAGGAGGAGGAGCAGGAGGAAATGAATGAGGAGGAGGAAGAGCAGGAGGAGCAGGAGGACGAAACGGAGGAGGAGGAGGAGAAGGAGGAGGAGGACGAGGAGGAGGAGGAGGAGGACGAGCAGGAGGAGGATGAGGAGGAGGATGAGCAGAGGAGCAGGGGAGAAACAGCAGGAGGAGGAGGAGGAGGAGGAGCAGGAGGAGGAGGAGGGGGATGAGCAGCAGGAGGAGCAGGGGGAGGAGCAGGAGGAGGAAGAGGAGCAGGAGGAGCAGGAGCAGGACGGGGAGGAGGAGGAAGAGGAGGAGGAGGAAGAGAAGGAGGAGCAAGCGGAGCAGGAGGAGGAGGAGGAGGAGGAAGAGAGGAGAAAGAAGAGGAGGAGGAGGAGGAGGAAGAGGAGGGGGAGGAGGAGGACGAGAAAGGAGGAAGACGAGGACGAGGAGAAGGAGGAGGAGGAGGAGGAGGGACAGGAGGACGAGGAGCAGGAGCAAGAGGAGGAGGAGGAGGAGGAGGGGCGAGCGAGCGAGCGACCTTGGCAGCAGTTCGTTCGACTTCGGGCACGGGGCACGAGCCTAACAAATTTGGGCGCCTGTCAACGTCCTGAATTGCTGCTGGCTCTGTCGTTAGGCGAGGCGGAAGGGCGCCTGAGGGAACCCGTGGGGGCCTATATAGCCTAGGGCCCCTCGTCGGCCCTAGGCCGTCTCCACCCTCCTAATTTGACAAAAAACGAGAGGGCGAAACACTAGGCTCAACCCTCCCTACCTGCAACTATATACGTAGCTACATGCTTAGTGGACGCTGAGGGCACACTCAGTGTACAAGTGTGCGCATCGCGTGCTCACTGCGCCGTGCTACACGACGTACATGCATGTGCGAAACACTGAACGTGGTGCTGCTGTTCTATAGTGTCAGTGCCGCCACGCTCAAGGGTCTCAGAGGGCAAGAATCCTTGCCGTAGATGTCGTGGCTGCCACTTCGCCACGGCAGTGATATCGGAGCTCGAACTTGATGGACAGAGCTCAATGTAACTCGCACCCCATTGCCGGTCCCAGCGCGTGGTCGCGGTTGTGGAACACCTGGCGCACGATGGCAAAGAAAAGGAATAGTATGCTGTAGTCTGTGCCCAGACGTGGCTGTTGAGATATTTACTGATAATCACGCACTGAAAGGAACTGCTGTAGCCGATGGAACTGCATGTCAAACAGCGGCAGGGCAGAAGTGGCTTTCCGCACAAGGATATGTCGGTGGCCCAGCGCTTCATCATGTCCTTTGCTCGCTGACTTCCGCTGGCGGCCTGTCTTCGCATACCTCCCACGTGTATCGCAGCGTATTTTACATCTTGCAGGCGCGCAGCTGGTTCTGACGTACATGCTCGAGGGCGCTGGGTGATGCGAACCCCTGAATCGATTCCCTCCCACGTGCGTGATGGCCTGATGCATCGCCTGTCGAAACTTCAGCTCCGAGATTGCTGGCGGCTTGGTCGGCCCCCTCAATCCATCGCCTTGAAGCTGCCCCCTGGCTCTATTGACTGCGGCGATGCTCGATTTGTCCGCGAACGGGCGGACTGCGAGCGCGTTGTGCATTGTCTGCACCTTGAACTGCTTGGGCTGGCCCGTCTGGGCGTGGGCGGCCTTGACTTTGAAGTGTGGGATGAAGTCCTCCACGTGCATCTTGAGTAAGAACTGATTGTCTGCAGCAAACTCTGCCCATTGAATAGGCACTGCCCCGAGCCCGCCGTCATCGGCTTCCTGTGCGAGCCCGCGTGTCGCTTCATCACCTGCTATGCTGTGCTACGTGCCGTAGATGAACCGCTTCTCAGGCCCCCTTCCCGTACCTGACGGAGAGGTCCTCGAATGATGTATCTGCGCCCAATCATGTCGCTTCCGTGCGTGCTCGGGTTGTTCAGCGGTCTCGATGCGTCGCTCCAAGTTGTGTCATCGGCGCACAGCTTGTAATTCACGAATGATCAATCCAAATTTGATGCATATTTCATTGCACCTAGCTTGATGCGGGTTCTCCTGGCCGAGTGCTTTACTGCCTTCTCGCACTAGTCGCTCACGAAGTTCATCTCGTTGTCTGATCTGCGCGACCCTCTCCGCGCTCACGTACTTGTTCTTCTGAGAAGGGTGCTCCCCTGGTAAGAAACCTCGTTGCGGACTTTTGTGAATGTAGGCCCTCAGCAGGTCCCATCCAGTTTGTATGTCATCTCGCTCCCATATTTGTCTCCATACGTCTTGTGGCGTCTCTTCGGCGTTCTCCTCATATTCCGTCAGGTACTCAATGCGCAGATGGCCGTGCACATACGCGCCCATTAAATAACTTCGATGTGCCTGAGGGTGCTGAGCGCCTTTGTGTGCTAGCTTCGTGCGAGTGTCTAACTCCATGAGCAGTTGGATATGGTCCGAGCACTCGAAGCGCCGTTGCAGTCGCCGTCCGAGCACTCGAAGCGTCTTGATGGTGGTGTTGCGCTGCGTGGGTTCGGTGGGCACGACGTACTGATCTATCTTGCTGCTGGCGGCGCCGCTGAAATATGTTGGCCCCATATCCCAATAACTGCTTGCAAATGTCAAGTGCTTCTCCTCGATCGCGTCTCGAACACGCTGTAAAACGGCTGTTTCCATCCCTGAGTTTTTTATCCCAACTGTGTGATCAGCTCGATAATACGTTCGTCCAGTGGCGTCTCTTCGGATGCCGAGTGAGCTATTCAGATCTCCTCCCACAGTGATGAAACATCGATTTCCAAGCTTGTCGGCTGTCTCGTTAAACCAAGTCATGCTTTTATCGACCGCTTCTTTCAGCAAGGACGGCGTGGTACCCTTGGGTGGCATGTATTCAGGAAAGAGAGCCACCGTACGTGCTCGAGTGCGAAACTTAGTCATAGCGATCCGCCCTGCGATGCCCCTGGACCGTGGTGGGAACGAGGTCTGCTGCATAGTGCCCTTCGTCTCCTCATTGGACACCGCCGCCAGAGCGCAGGAACAGTTTGACCACCGTGAATTTCGGAACCCAGACTGCGCGCAACTGTGGTTCGGCCAATTCTCCTGCGTCACGTCCTCATCCTTCACTGCGGCACGCCCAGTTCCGTTGAGCATCAGGATATCGACGGTCGGCGTGAGATTCGATATTTCTTCCAGATGTGTGTGATCAGCCAATTCGACATTATATGCCAAAATTCTCAATACCATGGCGAAGACGATTCCTGCGGGTGGAGGGAAGGAAGAGTAGGTACTGCAGGCCAGCCTGGGCCTGCCGCCCCGCATGTTAGTGACCTCCACCCGTGGGTTGTATGGTGTGGTAGGTGTGGTGGGGGTTCCTGCTGTGCTGTGAGCCACAGCAGCTCCTAGGAGGAGGAGGAGGAGGAGGAGGAGGAGGAGGAGGAGGAGGAGGAGGAGGAAGAGGAAGAGGAGGAGGACGAGGACGAGGAGGAGCAGGAGGAGGAGGAGGAGGAGGAGGAGGAGGAGGAGGAGGAGAGGAAGGATGAGAAAGAGGAGGAGGAACCTTGGGGGCAGGTGGTGCTCGATGCCGACGCCCGCGGCCGCGGACACCACGAGGAGAAGCAGGACCGCCTGCCGCCCAGGCCGCCCGCTCGGGGGAGCGGGGCCCATTCTCTTGGGCCAGGGCGGCTGCGGAAAGGGGGCGGCAGGACGAAAACGAGGAGGAACGACAATGCAGACGGCGCCGGCGAAGACGACGACTGAGGCGACGGCGACGGCGAGGAAAACGGCTGCGACGACGACGAAGACGACGGCGGTAACGGCGAGGATGAGGGCGGCGACGAAAACCACGAGGACGACCACGACAAGGACGAGGACGAACGGGAGAGGGGAGATAGAGAGAGAGAGAGGGAGAGGAGGACGCAGGCGGGAGGCGGTGACGTGGGGGAGCCGTGAACAGAACACTTGGAATACGTGGGACATTTACATCGGTATCATATGCGGAAAGTACATACGATGGTACATCCCACCAGCCCTCTGGGGAGGTGGTTTAACAAGCTTGTGTCTTCTCTCTGCTAATCTCCCTCCTTCCCCTGCCCCTCCCCCTCCCCCCTCCCCTGGGTTTGGAAAGGGGGGGCGATGTGTCAGAGGTTGCTTGTACGTTCAAGCGAGAAGGCAAAACAATATTGATTCCCCGTCGGTTTCGGGAACCTGTTGAGCCTCCGAGATGGGGCGCCGAATTCATAAACCCCCCTCTTTTTGAGCCTTGGGCCCAAGAGGCCTACCAGACCCTTCTGATGCGCCCGAAGATAGCCCGAAGACTCGCAAAACGACCCCTCCGACACTGACGGCGCCGCTTTACGAGAGGCCGCACGACAAAAATGACGCAAGTATCGCGAATTCACGACCGGTCAATCAGGCCGCTTGGTGATCCTCTCCTGCGACATCGGCGGCCGATGGGGGCAAGACTTTCCCGGGCTGGTGCGCGCGCTGGCTGAGCAGGAGGCGCGGGCCCTGCCCGTTCTCCCCCGCCGCTCAGCGGAGCCCGTGTGGACCAACCGCTGGAGGGGCGTCGTAGCCCACGACGCGCTCATGGCCACCCTGACAGCTGAAGGCTCCTAGCTCTAGGGGGGCCGCTGGGGAAGGGGACCCAGGCCTGGCCGAAGTGCTGCTCGCAGACACCGCCAGCCCGTCCTCTAGCCGCCTGCCGGCACGCCTCTGGTGCTTGGCCACAAACGCTCCGCCCGCTGCTCGTCCCACGGCGCGTTCAGCGGGGGCACCAGCAACGTGGGGTGCGGCGCCCGGCTGGCGCGCGCGCCGTCGCGGCTGGGCTCCGATGGCCCAGAGCGCCGTCGCGCTGCCGCCGGCCGAAGTCGCCTCGGTGCTACCAGCAGGAAAGGGAAGGTGGGAGAAAAAGCACGGCGCGCTGCGCGGCCCTTCCCTGGGCCACGCCGCGCGCCCTCCCGCCCCATTCGGCAGCGCGGCCCTTTCGCGGACTGCGCGCCTCCCGCGCCGCGGCCTGGCCGCCGCTCGCAGGCGCTTGCCGACAGGTGGCCGGTACTCAATATCCCGCCCCGGCCGGCGGTGCAAACGGCGTCGGGTGGTCGAGCGGCTCATCGGGCGCCGCCGGCCGACACGGCGGCCTGACGGTGCCCGCTGGGCCGCCAACTAGGCTCACATCCCGACCACCACGGCTGCGCGGGGGCGCTGTGACGAACGCCAGGAACACTCCCACCACGAACAAAACGGCGACCAGCAGCACCTCTACCGCGACGGCGGCCGGCAACAACACCACAACGAACACCGCGATTGCGACCAGCAGCGCCACCGGCAAGCCGGCGGACGGCGATGCCGCCGCCACGACTGCAGCCGCATCACTACGAGGACCGCGATTGCGACCAACGGCGCCGTCACCACGACCACGACCAACAGCAGCACCGCCACAACGGCGGCCAGCAACACCACCACAATGAACACCACGAGGCGACCAGCAGCAACACCACGGCGACTGCGACCACCACCACCAGGGCTGCGCGGGCTGACGAACACCAGGAGCACTCCCACTATGAACAGGACGGCGATCAGCGGCACCACTAGGACGACGTCCGCTGGCAGAAACATCACAACGAGGACCACTACTGCGACCAACAGTGCCGCCACTACGACAGCGACCAGCAGCAACGACGTCACAACGGCGGCTGGCAACACGACCACGATGAACACCACGAGCGCAACACGCAGCAACCTTACGGCGACTACCAGAAGCACCACCACCGTGACGGCGGCCAGCAGCAGCACCACCACGGACAGCACGACTACGACCAGCAGCGCCACCGGCAAGACGGCGGACAGCACCGCCACCATCACGACAACAAACGCATCACAACGAGCACCGCGATTGCGACCAACAGCGCCGCCACCACGACCACGACCACGACCAGCAGAAGCGCCGCCACAACGACGGCGGCTGGCAACGTCACCGCGACGAACACCACGACTGCGACCAGCAGCAACACCACAGTGACCGCGACCACCAACTTCACCACGACGTCGACAGTCAGCAACACGACAAGGAACACTGAACACCATGATTACGATCACTAGCCCCGCCACCACGTCTGCGACCAGCAGCACCATCGCCGCGACAACACCGGCAGCAACACCAAAACGAACACCACGTCTGTAAGCAGTTGCACCACCAAGACTTCGAGCAGAAACGCCACCAACAAAACGGCGGCCAACAGCAGCACCACTAAGAACACCACGGCCGCGACCAGCAATCGCGACCAGCGGCAGGACCAACCACGTCCGCGACCAGCAGCACAATGGCGAGCAATGGCACCTGTCTCTGGCATTACCCAGCGAGCTGCGGCGTTGGTCAGAGACCTGCGGGAAGCGAGATCGGAATCTGATGTCGTCAGCTACGGCGTCGTGACCAGCGCGTGCGGCAAGCGCGCGTAGTTTTAGCGGGCTCTGGCGGTACTCAGCGACATCCTGGAGACTACTTTGCCGCGCACTGTCATCGGCCACAGCGCTGGGGTTAGCGCGTGCGCCAAGGGCGAGCAGGCTGTCGCGCTGCCCAGCAAGATGTGCAAGGCAAACTTGGATCCATCGCCATCAGCTACAAAGCTGGAATCCGCGCGCGCGACGAAGGCAAAGGGCGGCATCAACTACAGCGCTGACAGGGAGGGAACGAGGTGGTAGAGGAGGAAATGCGACAAATGAGGCAGCAGGGTGGGGAGGAGGAGGATGAGAAGGGGGAGAAGGATGAGAAGGAGGAGGAGGATGAGGAGGAGGAGGATGAGGAGGACCAATGCAAACCCAAGACCTATAGACGATGGTTAAACGCACCCTCCCTCTAAACTCCCGCTTCACAGGCCCCTGCAAGGGTTCGCTTCCACTGAAGGAAGTGCCCCGTTAAGGGACAGCCGCGCGGAAATCCTGAAGCGCGCCAAAATACAACTCTCTGGACTTCAGCGCCACAGCCACGAGTCAACCTGACTGCTGCGTTTTGCAGATCCTGATTCTTGCTCAACACCAGACCTGGGACCTCCACACCGCGGATCAACATATTTGTTGCGGCCTGGCGATCCTGAAACGTTTCGAAAAACCGTTTTCGGCATGTTATCCATGAGCACCGATGGCACCCGTGCAGATTATGTGAAAAGAATGTGCACGGGCTATGGCGAGAGCAACATTTTGAAAAAAGGAGCCGCCCTCAATGCGTGAAGTTGTTGCCAATGGAATCTCTTTGTATTTGTTGCACGAACGAACGCGGCGCTGAAGCGAGAAACGCATGTTGAAAACGACCCGCCATCAATCCGCGAAGCTCTGGCAAGTGCCTGAAACGAGTGTGCGGGGCGCTGAGGCGAGAGCCACATTTGGAAGCGATCCGCCCTCCAGATTTGAAGATGTTGCAAGTTTGCAAGCACATAAGTGGTAAGGAAAGTCTCAGGCGCAACGCCCAGCCCGTCTCACCGACTAGCCTCGGGGCGCGACAAAAAAAATATTCATCAGGAGAAGGCATGGGGGCAGCAGCCGAGAATGAGGAGGAGTAAGTATCAGAGGAAGAGGAGAAGAAGAAGGAGAAGGAGGAGGAGGACCACTGTAAACCCGGAAGTCACCAATGATGTTGCAATAACCCCCCCTCCAACCCCCCCTCTTCACAGGCACCTACAAGGGCTCATTTTCCAGGAACTGCCTCGTTGGAAAACGACCGTTTGAAGATCCTGAAGCATGCCAAAACAGTGTCCTCGGGATTCCAACGCCGCGGATCAATCTGAATGTGGCGATCCTGAATCGTGCCAGAACGTCATTCCTAGGACTGCGTCCTCAGAACCCTGAATCCTTCCTAAAGGCCACGTCTGGTACGCTAGTCGTGGGAAACCCGTGAAACTCTTGCAAGTGTTAAGAACGACTGTGCGCGGCGCTGAAGCGAGAACCACATTTTGAAAAAGAAGCCGCCCTCGATCCGTGAAACTCTTGCACATTAAATAAACGAATGCGCGCGGCGCTTAAGCGCGAACCGCATTTTGAAAGGGAGCCGCCCTCAATCCGTAACGTTTTAGCAATTTCTTACAACGAATGCGCGCGGCGCTTATACGAGAGCTACAGTTTGAAAACCATTCGCCCTCAATCCATGAAGGCTCTGGCACTTC